TCATTTTACGAGTTTTTGATATATATTTTTTTGTACTAAAATTAATTCAAAATTCAAATTCAAAAAAAAAAAAACGTAAACATGGGTCAATTATTTTTTAATAAAGATTCAGAATATGCAATAAAAAAATATATGCAACTACCCAATTAATGCTGTTTTCTGTTTCACCGGAAATAACATCAAAATTATTTTTTTAAACACACTATATATTTTACCACTTTTAGATTCTTTGTTTAATTGTCTTTTAACAAGTTCTAGTACCATAAGCCTAAAAAAATATTTGAATGTAGACTACATAAACAATAAATGGTTTTACTTAGGGGCAACTCCCGATGACATGCCCAATGAAAACTTTTGGTAGCAGTAAAATGCTTCTACAGTGCTAGAAACATGACGATAGAAGAAGGTAGAAGATCTTCTACCATGTTTGAAGAATAAAATAACAACTGTATTTTTAAAAAAAGTGACAAGTATTTTTATCAAGTGGGAAAATTAAATATGGCGAAGCAGACTACGAAAGACGCCATTTTTGTAGACATTTCAAGAGATACTTAATTTTTCGAGGATGAGATGGTTCCACAACTACAAACATTCTACCACAACTGCATATGCGAAATATGAAAATACGAGATCCACAATATACTTATTTTTTTACATAGTGATTATGAAAGTTAAATTTTCATCAGGATAATCGTATAGAAAGTTATACTTTTTTATACGAGATCTATAATTATACAGGGTGTTTACGGTCTTGAGGTTCAAATTTAAATCAGAGGATATTTACGGTACAAGAAAACTAATACGCTGTATAAAACAAAAATTCACCTTGTTAAAGTAAACTATTCATTTTACACTATTTGTTTGAGAACTGCTGCTTCCGCTGCAACAATGGCCATTAGTATCATTACCTTGTGTTTCACCGTAAATCACGACAACCAATTTATTATTTTAATATTTTGCCATACCTACATGTTCATAAATTTGTAGAAAAATTAAGAAAAACGAATCAAACCTATTGGAAACCATTCGCTGAAAGAGATTAAACAGAAGATCTTCGAGTTTTGATAAAAACTAAAGCAAAAGCTAATCAAATGATGACAGTGTGAAAACTATGAAGTGACTTTTCTCTTTCATTGTCATGGATACGATTGTTTCATCTGTTGCAACAATACAATTTTATCTAAACAAGGAAATAATTCCAGTGACCCTCAAACCGTGTACCAATATTTTGGAGTTAAATAAAATTCTTGTAAATAACAATTGTGTGAGTTTTTTTTTTCGGTTACATTATTTCTGTACTCTTCAATTACTAGGTCAATTTTCAACTCCAAGACTGTAAACACCTTGTATTTCTATAGTTATTTCTATAGTTTCTATAGATGGGGGTTCTTGGGGTTATCACTATGCAAAAAAAATGTTTTGTACAACTCGTTATGAAAGTCCTTTTTTTCACTCATTAGAGGGCAGAGCCCTCGTAAATTCGTGATGAAAAGTATGACTTCTAGAACTACACTGACCGGCATAATTATCGAATCACTTAAATTTTAAGATTTAAAATGGCTAAATGGTTCCGAAAATACAGGGTGATTCAGCTTAAATGACCCACTTGACCTCTCTTGGCAGACAACCCATAATACACAAAGCAATTATTCCTTGATTCATATTAGAATTTTGAAAGTTTCATGAATCAAAGTTTGCTGTGCGAAAAATATCGAAAGTGTTTTACCAGATGCACCATAAGTTAATATCATATCCGTCCGGAAACAGCCCTATCGATGTAGACTATTAAAAAAAATACCAAATGTTGGCAATATTGGTTATTCGTTAACATCTACGGGTGGCATTTCTTAAATGACAAACAGTTTGATTTCATAGCAAATATTTGATGTATTCAATAAATTTTTTGGCCTCCTGACATGTAAATGTCAAATTAACGTACAATTGACACCTATTGAAAGACTGTATTTACAGTCGCCTGGGTATTTTACGCACGGACGTGTGTAAATTGACAGTTTTACCGCACGGCAAAAATTATCTTCATAGACCTTTATAAAAAAAAACTGTTTGTAAGATGATAACATTTTTAATAAAACGCTTTACACACAACCTTTGAATCTTAGAACTCCTTTTTCTTCACATCACATTATAATTCTAAACACATTGTACAGCGCTTCATACCTTGCTCGCTATTTTTCGGGCAATAGCTCGGTTGTAACATTTTCTGCAGCACTTCTGATTTCTGGTGGGGTACATACACATGGGGCTATTATCGCTCGACATATTGAAGCATAAAATCACCACCAAGTCAAACAAAAATTTGTGTCTGAAACATTTTTGCGTCTTTTTTAGTTGTTTGACATTAGAGTGCATAGCCACCGTGATATTTATTGTCAAACGTATTTATTAGCATTAATTCTGAATTTTGTAATTTTGGATTTTTGTCTAATGTCGGCCAAAAAGCTGAATACAAATCTTATGCCTTAACCATTTTACAGTGCTCAATTATTAAAGCAATGTAAGTTACCGCACACGAATGTAAATAACTATTTTAATTTTGAGTTAGACATTGTGTTGTCAAGCTGAATACATGTAACTTCTTCAGCGCAAACTATTTTTGTTTTTTTATTTTTGAGACAATTTAAAATTGGTCGGATAAAAAAATATTGTTTATCAAATGGCCAGAAACTGTTTTGAAAGCAGCTCGTGAATACAAAATGACAGTTTTAACCCTTGTGATACAAATAAATAATTATTACAAACTTTCGATCTCGACAAAAAACAGCATATTCTTACATCAAAAAAATTCGTTTCGCACTCCTAATATAAAAAAGTATACCAAACATCTAATAAATGAATATTTTGTTGACTAAGTATATTTTTTTATTATAAGTACCTCAATAAAAATATCCTCACAGAACTCGCGCCCCAGAGAAAAATGTCAAGTACCGGCGGCAATGGATCGCCACAAAGTGCAGCTGAAGAAGTAACTTTTGTTTGCATAAGAAAGTTATTAGACCCTTAATTCCACCAATCCCAGAAGGGCACCTCAGGGTGGTATTGAAAAATTATATCTGTTGCTGGGTTACAAAAATAATACCAATTTGCCTAGAATCTTCAATAAATAGTTGGTCTACTGTAATTTTCACATCTGTCATGTGTTGACATAACACGCTATTTTCGAATATTTTTCTCCCTGAAGAGGTTGTACACGAGTGTAATGGTTTGAATTTGTGTTAGATGTCAATTGTGTGGTTTAAGTTAATAAGTTTTAACCAATTAGCCGCTGATTATTTGGAGATAATAACCATTTTTGGAAAGTGTTGGCGAAACGCCAGGGAGGCAGCTAGGATATTTTCCGAACGTTTTCCTTACAGAAATCGCCCATGCTATAAGGTCACATTGCCAGGGTGTAAGAGCGGTCAAGTCCTACCAGACCGAAAAGAAATTAGAGGTGTTCCCAGAACGGCGCACATAGTTGAAAATGAAGAAGCTTTTCTTGATTTTTTAAGATGGCACTAAGTAGATTGTAGTCATTATAACTGACATACTCGTATTAGGGCAGAGGAAATTTCAAATGCTTTGTTTCCGGGGGCATTTCAACAATGATTTCCAGTAAATTTGTGGACTGACTGAGAAAATTTCAAATGCTTTTTTTCCGGGAGCATTTCAGCAATGATTTTTAGTAAATTTGTGGACTGTTGAGGAATATCAACTAATTTCAATATCAATATTGCAATATTCTTGTAGATTGTTTAGTGAAAAAGAAAGCAAGGGGTCTTAGTGCAATGTGTGTTTTTAGGTTACAATTACACTACCGAACAAAAATACCTTGGTAAATCTACAATTGACAGTAAAAAATTATCCTAACCTGTTTAGTTCAAGCACAAATTATTATAAAAAGTACATTTTTCTGTTAGTCTTGCAATAAAGTAAAGAAACTGGCGTAAATTTTCGTCTTTCTGGTTAATCTAACTCGCTTCTAGCATAAGTTTTCGGCTTGTTGTCTGTGTCATATCGAAGAAAAAGTTAAGGAGGAACAATGCTTCTGAAGAAAACATCTAAAAGTATTAAAATAGTTGTTGGTTCATCGCAATGGAAATCGAGTTTTCAAAAATTTTCAACGATTTCGTCTCATTATACTTGTGCACAGCATCTTCAGCGAGAAAAATATTCGAAAATAGCGTGTTATGTCAAAAACATGACAGACAATTACAGTAATCCAGCTATTTTTTAAAATTCTGGGAATTGGTATTATTTTTTTTAACCTAGCAACGGATATAATTTTCCAATCACACCCTGAGGTGCCCTTCTGGGATTGGTGGAATTAAGAGTCTCTCAACTTTCTTATGCAAGCAAAAGTTACTTCTTCAGCTGCATTTTTTGGCGACCCATTGCCGCCGGCATTTGACATTTTTCTCTGGAGCGCGAGTTCTGGCGCACCCTGTATATTTCTCTGAATTTCCAATACGTAGGATAGCCCTGAGCAAGGCCTGACCAGTGTGAGACAAATCCACTCACTATTAAGATAAAACAAAGTTTAACAAATGAAATGTGACTTTTTAAGAGCGGTTACCTATTTATCATTTGTTTGATAAAGAGTTATTTTTGAACATATTGTGATTTTTAATTCATGTAATTTAAATTCAGTTGTTTCATTTATTTCTCACTAACCATGAAAATGAGATGAGTACACTTTACGTATGTACATCTATTTTGAGATTTATACTAATGGACTATTTTTAGTAGGTTACTTCGAAGGAGTTATTTACATGAAACCCTTTCTAAGGGTAATTTTTCTTTGTTGAACCAAATGTTTTTTAGTTTTTTGAATGGAAATTAGTACTCTGTAATTTTACAATGTGTGTTATTTTATTTTTTAAACAAATTTAGTAGTCGCAGATTATGTGTTTTATTCTTTTATGAGTTTAAAAATATTCTGGTAAAATATTAAACTATAACAACGTAATCTAAAGATTAAAATAATATCTTTATTACAACAGATAACGGCTGATGATAAACTCTCTACCATGGTCTGCATTCAGTGTATCGAAAAGATCAACAGTTGGCAGTCCTTCAAAGTCACATGTTTCGAGAATCAAACCAAACTAGAACAATGGATGAACGCGTCCAATACCGAATTATCTCTCTCAGATATGGTAAAATTTAACTATTCTCCACTTATAATTTTATTATAATTATAATTATAACATTTTTAGAATATTCAAATCAAAGAAGAACCAATCGATAATGATATCCTCACACCGGAAGTCGTCATGAATGGCGAAAACTCCGTCAAAAACGAACCTCTCGAAGAAGAGTACAACGAACTACCACCACCTCTAACCCCCCAAGCTGACGAGATGATAGACATTGAACTCGTCAGCAACTCTCCAACTTCTCAAATCACCAGTAATGGTAAGTCAGTCTAAATGTAGAGCATGCCTTGGAGGTCTTTTTTTACGCAGATGAGCCAGGTAACACTTACGATCCAAAAAAATGTAGCTTTTGCGGCAAATTATTCAGCTCGTCGGGAAATCGCAAAAAACACGAGAGGAAGATGCATGGGCCTAAAAAAACACATTCGGTTGCACAACCTGACAACGGTAAGTTTATTAATTGGCATGTTTGGTGTAACAATAAAAAAATGGAATAAACGTATTATGTATGAGAAACTTATTCCGCAGGTTCGTTGAGTCAAGATGAGAGGTCGCAAAGTTCCATTGATTCCCAACCTCAGATTGAATCAACGTCGAAGGAACCAACAAGTGAAGAGAAAAAGATTTTGTTTGCTGCAGGTTTAAAATTGTTGCAGCGAAATTCCACTCCTCCTATATCATTCGAAAATTTGTCTAAAATTGAAAATAGTTACATAGAGAAATGCAAGGCTATGGTCACAATGCACAGCACCCTCAAATGTGCATGTCACAATGTCACTCATCCGAATTTGAAAGGATTGTTATCCCATTTACGTTCTTTACGTATTTGGTTTCCTGTTTTCACTTGTTATCACTGTATGATTACTTTTACGGACAGATCAACCGGTACAAGGCATTATCTCAGATGTCCAAAGTCGAATTTAGAAACTCTGATCAAATTATCAAACTTGAAGAAGCGAAGCGAAGTTAAGACCCGACTTTATCAAAATTACAAATGTACGATATGTCGGTTCATGTACACATTTCATGAAGATTTCTGTACTCACGTTGATGAAGACCACAGTCACATTAACTTACCTTATACTTGCTCCTGTGGGAGAGTTTTCACCTCATTGGAGGATTATAAAGATCATGCTTATATCAGCTGTTTGGTTGAATTCTACTGTGATATTTGTTTTGTTACTCTCAAGACTCTGGATGCGTTCCAAAAACATGCATCTGAGGTTCATGATAATTCGGAAGGTTTTGCTTTACTTCAGGAAGATAATTATAAAAAGAGGAAAAATGTTCCGGGAGTTGTTGCAAAAACAAGACAAAGCGTTAAAAGAGAACATGCAGATGAAAGCAACATAATTTCGGGTAAGAGAAGAGCGTCCTACAAACCTCCAATTATAGAACCTGAAGACGAGGAGGATACTAAAGTACTGAACCCCTTATTTAAACACAAGTTATTAGGGACAGTCTGTCCTATTTGTAATAAAGAATACTCGACTAACAATAATATGTGGAGACACTACAAGACTCACGTTCAGGATAAAAAAGAAGACAAAAAAGAAGAGGAGTTTGATGATTCGATTTATTGTTGCCCTGATTGTGGTGGTATGTTCAGTACTGCCGAATGGGAAAAACACAAAGGGATGCATAAGAAGAAAACTTGTAAAGAGTGTGGGAAAATTTTCCAATTCCAGTCGGAGTTAGACCAACACAGGAGTGTCCACCTTAATTTGAAACTCTACAGAGATTCGAAAACGCAAAATTACAAGAGTACGATGGCCAGTCCCAATAGCGAGCTCAATAATATTGTTATGATGTGTGAAATTTGTGAGAGGATGTTTACATCGAAGGAACAATTGAAAGAACACAAACTGACTCACGAGACTATGCCAGTGTTGGAATCGAACGAACCCACAAATGGCGAGGAGAATAAAACGACGAAGAAATACTGTTGTAAAATCTGTAATAAACAATATGCAGGTTATGGGGGTCTGTGGGATCACAATAGGAAAAAACACCCCGAGAATAAGTCGCCCCAAAGTAACGATTTTCCAAAGAAATGTGAATATTGCGATAAGATTTTCTATACCGGTGGTTCGTATTTCATGCACAAACAAATGCATGAGCGACACAATCAAAAGAAGGCATTGGAAGCGCCTCAGCTTCAACCGTCAACCAATGAGGAGGAGCCGAACGAAGAGGATCCTGAAGAGTCGTACCATACGTGCAAACGTTGTTTTAAGGTTTTCTCAAATCGATACAATCTTAAAAACCACATGAAATGTCACGGGATCAATGCCAACGCTAGTGGTAAAAGTCCCAAAAAAGGAGCAAAGAAAGTCTGGTGTGACATTTGTCACTGTGCTTTTGAAAACACGATGAGTTTGGAGAGGCACAAATCCGAGGATCATGCCGATGATGGAATGCCTACGCTCTCAGACGAGCAAAGTGAAGTCGATTTAAAGGCCCCCTTCGTCTTCACATGTGATGTTTGTGTCCAGACTTTCACAACTAAGATTGCTTTGAAGAAGCATAAAGAGAAGCATGCTCGTGAAGTACGACCGGTAATGAAGAATAAGCCAGTGGTGTATTGCAAGTACTGTAAAATATCGTTTGCGAATCCCTTCCAATTGACCAATCACATGAAGGAGGAACACATGGAGGAGTACAAGCCATACCCGAAGAAAGAGAAGATCAAACAATTCGGGTGTAAGCTGTGTGGGAAAAATTTCAGCTCGGCTGCTGCCTTGTATGCCCATCAAGGTTGGCATAAACGCGGTAAATTCGACAATGAAGACAAACCGGAATCGCCGGTACCTAAAATTAAGGAGGAATCAAAGTCGCAGACTCACTTCGAGTGTCGGACTTGCAACGCTGTTCTTCCCAATGACACAGCTTTGCAAATACATATTTTAGAGAAACATCGTAATGTGAATGCGACGGTACTGCCCGCGAGGTGTACTATGTGCAACTTAGATTTTAGTTCACAAGATGAGTATGACCAGCATAAGCGATTCCATGCGATGGTTGAGAAACAGCCCAAGACGAAAACGTGGGCTTGTACTCAGTGTCCGGCCGGTTTCAGTCGGGCGGATATGTTAAAAATGCATGTTAGGCAATTTCATAAGGAAGTAAAAGAGTACCGGTGCCATCACTGCGACCGAGTGTTTGAAAAAGGGAACTCGTTGAGTATTCATTTGAAGGTTCATGAAAAACAGAAGTTGATTTCGGGAGGGAAAGCATCGCCGGTGCTGGTTAATAAGTCACAAGGTGTACCACCGGTTAAACCAGCCGCGAAGGCTTTATACTCTTGTTCGATTTGTAATAAAAGGTTTGAATTGCCCAAAGATCTGAGGATGCATACCATTCAGGCGCATCCGTTCTGACGTATATTGTATAAGTAGGATTTTTAAGTTTATATTCATTTGTTGGTTTAAGATAAATGATTATTTTTGCACTGTTTTTTAACTTCAAGCTGTTATTGGTAACGAATTGTTTTTCATTATAATGTGCCTAAGAACTGTAAATATATTTTTTAGATTAAGACATGTATTACATTTTTACAATAAATAGGTATATCTGTTTACAATCCATTGTTTTTGTAGAAGTAAGTATTTCAATTATTATTTTTCTGAAAATAATACAGTATAAATTGCATAAGCATAAGCACAAATTGAATGGCATTTTTTGTCTTCAAAAAAACTATCGAAATTAACTGTATTTAGTTATATAACTGGCATACACCTGAGGGTATGTAAATTTTCAGGATATCGATAAAACTATTTTGGGAATTTTGCAAATACATATTAATCGCTTTAATACAGGCTGAGACATAATAAAAACTGCTGGGGCGCAAAATGATTTTGGAATTTTTTTTACCAGGCTTGCAGCTGGCAAAACTTTATAGCATCAAAAGCGATTTCTAGGAATTTCCTTTATTTACAGGGTGAGTCATATATATTAAAGACCCTAACCGATTTTCAAACGCAACCCAAAATACATTCTCAAATACCACTATGCGTTAATTGATGTGAATACTATTTAAAATTTTTCAAAGATTAGATAGATAGCTTTGACTGTTTTTGAAATTTGGCGTCCTACGGTGTACCTTTGACGGTACAGATTCAGTCATAACATTTTTGTGTCATCATACATACATATATCAAGATCATGTCAGTTTTTTTGTTGTTTGCGTATATTTTGAGTTCAAGAGAAAAAAAGGTGTAATTGATCACATTGTCAAATTTAATGAATGAGATATCAACAACTACTTTGATTCAAATTTATTCAATTAAATTTTTCATACACAACTAAAGTCAAGTTATTTGTGTATTTGAGAATGTATTTCGGGTTGCGTCTGAAAATCGGTTAGGGTTTTTATTACAAATGACTCGCTCCGTATATTATTAGTGGTATATTATTCAACGAGAATATAATGATGCTGTTGGCTATTATATCTATTCACGAAGGTGAAGTTTAAAAAAACGAGTCATAGAAAAGTTTTTTAATCACCTGAGTGAATAGTAGCCTTACTAGCCTTTATCTGGGAATAGAATACTATGCTCTACGACTACGAATTATTTTCCTTTTTTGGTGTTGACAAAGTTGACGACGTTTCAATTTAATTAATAATGAACAAGTCAAGTTGCATGTAGTACAGGATGTTCGGTAAATCGACTGCCATGTCTTCACTGCGATCTCACAGGATTAAGAAAAGTATTGTTCTGCATTCTCATTTTTTTTGTCATGCTGTGAAGAACTAGAGGACTTTAAACATTACCAATGAGTGAACATAGTAGAGGATACGAATATTAGGGTCGACCTTCACCCATCTGCTTACCGGATGAAACTTATTTTTTATCAAATTTAATATGCAAAGGAATATATCGCGAATGGGTTGCCTAAAAAAATATGTTCAAGGATATGATTTATTAGAAATACAAAAAATAATAATTTTTTATTACTTCACCTACTTGCTTACCAGAAAAATTAAATACCAATCGAAAGTATGAAGCCTAAGGAGTATGAAAAAATTGGGTTGCCTACCTTTTTCTGTTCARTACTATTGGGTTGCCAGGTATGAACAGGTGAGTCGATGTAGTAATTTGCACCGATCTGCTTGCGCAATAAATTATATATGAAAATAAAGATAATTTTATTGCGAACACGGTGGTATAGGGTTGCCTGCGAAAAAACGTTCATGAATGAGGGTTGCCGAGCTTTGAAATTGAAAAATCGGAGCAAATAAAGATAATCAAAAGTTGTAGATGTGCCAGTATTYATAATGATAAACGTATTGTCATGTAAAAAAAATATTCCAATAGAAAAATACTTAAATAATGTCAAATTCAAAATTAAATAGACCCTCTAATTCGCAAGATTCGTCAGCCTTTTGTTTTTCATTCATCTCAACAATATCCTCTAATTTCAGAGGCGTTTTWGGTCTCRAACAAATCCTGTTGYWTTWAAAAAAAAACATCTAAAAACCAACGGCAGTTTTGAGGCAACAGTTTCACACAATCGGAGTCAGTTGCATGGAGCCACGTGGAATTTACATAAATAGTACGCAAAATTTTTTGTTGTAGCGAATCCAGCACGGTGGTATAGACCGCTGAAGACTGCGACAGAGCAGGCTAGAACGCTATTGGGTCATTAAAAAAATTACGGAGTTTTTGAAAGTGAGTAAAATCGTAAAAATAGCCAATTTACTTAATGTGGTAAAACGCTTAAACTATGATTTTTTTGATGTAAAATTAGGCGCTGAACACGATGCAACAGGTTAAAATACTCTGCGATGCATAGTTTTTGAGATATTAGCAATAGACCGCACTGCGTGTGAAAAATAGACCAAAATCTCGATACAAATAAAAAAAATATTTTCAAATTGATCCATATAACGTTCTTTATATTTCTAGAGGTCTTAAAAACTCAAAAAAGTGCATAAAATGTTATTGAGTCAAGTTTTAAAAATTACGAATTTTTTGAGTTTTTGAAGATGAGCCATATAATTAGTTAGAGGTGTTTTGGGAGCTTTAACAAAAAATCTTGTATACACCACGTACGGAAAAGGTTTTAGGTAACTCCTCTCATTAAAGACTCGGCTCCTACGTCGCCTCGTCATTAATTACGATTTGTCCCCTAAAACCCTACTTTGCGTACTTGATACATAAATAGCTATTTTTACATGACAATATGTTTATCATTATCAATATTGGCACATCTACAAATTTTGATTTTTTTATGAGTTTCAGTTTTTTTATTAGTAAATTTAAAAATATAATGATTCATCGTTGTGTTATGGAACAACGTGAAAACATTAAAAAATAATGAAAACTGAAGAAGTTAACAAAATAAGTTTGTAGTTCCACATTTTTTCAAAGTTTTCTCCAACGTCCCACTGAGTTTTAACTTCTCTGTCGCACATCTTTATTTGCTCCGATTTTTCAACTTCAAAGCTCGGCAACCCTCATTCATGAACGTTTTTTCGCAGGCAACCTTATACCACCGTGTTCGCAATAAAATTATCTTTATTTTCATATATAATTTATTGCGCAAGCAGATCGGTGCAAATTACTACATCGACTCACCTGTTCATACCTGGCAACCCAATAATAGTGAACAGAAAAAGGTAGGCAACTCAATTTTTTCATACTCCTTAGGCTTCATACTTTCGATTGGTATTTAATTTTTCTGGTAAGCAAGTAAGTGAAGTAATAAAAAATTATTAATTTTTGTATTTTCAATAAATCATATCCTTGAACATATTTTTTTAGGCAACCCATTCGCGATACATTCCTTTGCATATTAAATTTTATAAAAAATAAGTTTCATCCGGTAAGCAGATGGGTGAAGGTCGACCCTAATTCGGATCTTAGACTAACAACACGTTTTAGTATCACTTGTTCTGTTGTATCAAGTGCTCTATGTGCGAAAGCAAGAAATTATATTAAATATTTTAAATTGCAATACTTGAACTCAAACATACTTTTTTACACCTTTTGATTCTTGAGTTAAAAGAAGATTATGAATAATCCTATAACTACTTATATGTACCTACATTTTTATTTTATTTAAATAGTTTTTCATCGTTTACCTACTTAAATAACAAAAAATTAATTCTTTGTGGCATGTGGATATGAATGTAATTAATAAAAAAAAAAGATGGGGTGGGTAGTTGAAACTCATCTTGTTAAATAAATAAAATAGGTATATTGAGTATGCATGGTAAGTCATTTGTGTAGTAAAGACATTTATGTAGTAAAAAGATTTTCAGACGCAATTCAAAATACATTCTCACAGACAACTTGGCTTTTCTTATGCTTAAAAAATTAGATAAGTAAATTTAAGGCAGTGCCTCCGTTGCCGGCAATGGTACCCAAAAGAAATAAGGGAATGGTCGCCGGCGTCGGTTACCCGCGCATTGTAGGTTCAGATTCCTTATTATTTTGATACGGCATTGGCGTTGTGGGTGATGACAGCTTTCGATCTGTCAACTACATAACATTAAATTATCAAAAGTGAAGCTGAAGACAGGTTTGCTTTATGTGAAGAACTTAATAATAGCCTTTTGGCAAATCATTTTTTAAAAGTTTTTATTTAATTAATTTGCTTTGTTGTCTATCTTTTTCGAGTCAAAGAAACAGCTTTTCCGAATAATCTTAAATGTTGCATTTTTTCTACACACGTAATTTTCGTGACACTACGATAATATTTATCTTAATTAGTGATTTATAAATAATTAAAAAATGTTATTAACAATTATTAGTATCTTGGCTCTTAACTGAAATATGAAGATGAAGCCATCTTCATTCGATAGAGCAGAAAAAATTGTACATGTTGGTGGGGTTTATTGTCTGCCAGTGTACAGGCAGGGTAAGTTTAATAGATAGAAATTTTCAGAAATGATAGGAACGATTAAAAGAAGAAAAAAATAATTTAATTTGAGAATGTTTGTGCGTTTCTACTGGTTATACATACTAGCAGAAACCATACCTAAATTCTGATGTACAGAGTGTTCCGTTTTTAATGTTACAAATTTAAATAGATGATAGAATATTCAATTTTAAGACAAAAGGTTTCTATAAATATGTTTAGAAAAATGCTAATAAAGTAAGGGAGCTACACCCTCTAAAAACGTTTTTTTTTCCAGTATTTTACAATTGATAAAATTACTAAATTGGGTACAACTGATAACCTTTATACACCTAACCGAATTGCAAGATGAAATGTCGAAATTTTTAATTAGGTGCGTTCTAAATGGTAAAATGAATTTAATTTTTAGTTTTTATGTTGTTTATGGTAACATAAATCTTAAAACTGATTTTGTTCAAAATCGGTAAGTTTTATTGGAAAAACACAAAAGACCTTTTCTATGAAAAAATATGAAATTTAGAATTATGTTGCTGGAAGTGGTAACAAACTACAGCCAAAATAGTTAGAGTACTTTTACCCTAAACCCACCCTATTTGATTAAACATTTTGTCTTTGAATTCGTGTAAGTGTAGAAAGGTTATCTATCATCTGTACCAAATTTTGTAATTTTATTTAAATTGGTTTTGAAAATATTGGCAAAAACCCATCAAAAGACGC